CATGGTCCAATCTGATGATGGTGCAGCAGACTCCTACATGGGAGGCTGGGAGAGGGAAATGGCCAGTATAGAGCTCCCAAAGCAATCGGAGCCACCACTGCAGCCTGTCAGCACTATATTGCCACTGAACTTGGTCTTGGTAATGCCTGCACAGCAAGTGAATTTACCGTGGTGAGAAGAAGCTCTTATACATCCTATACAGCTGTGGGTACCAGATTCATTCTTTTTTCTCTTCCACCTGATATAGTTGAGAGTCGAAAAGTTCATGTAGTCTATAGCCAGAACTCACTCATATTTCTTATGAAGCAATCTTTTATAGTGGAGAAAAAATGCCATCTTTCTCTTATTTTTCATTCACTTTTTACTCACTTTTCACTAAATGATTCATATGCATTTAACCCTTCACTAAGTTTTTTGTTTGTTTGCTTGCTTTTTGCCCAGAGCTTTGGTTAGAAGGAAAACTTAAAACACCTCTCCCCAGTCTTTATCAAATGTTAAGTCTATTATCCAAGGTGAATAGCAAGAATAAGTCCAAAAAGCATCTGCAGGTAGTTTGTTTCCTGCACCTCCTCTCTTTCAACTGTAGTTGTTTACTGTTCAGATGAGTCTAGTGGTATATCTAGAAGCTATTTGGAGACTTTTACATTTGCTATTTCTAGTTTACATAGATGATAGAAATAGACATATGATTTTTTTACCATAGGTCTCTGCAGAGATAAGGTATGAAGAAAGATTAGAGATGCAGGTACAAAAGGGGGTGAGAATTTGAACTATGCACTCACGTCTACCATCCTAAAATGTTCTTCTAATCACCATATTTTAATATTTTCAGGGACAAATTTTCAAATGTTTCTGTTTGAACAGGATATAGAATGAATTTTGATCTCTTTTTTAAAGAATCTTGAAAATTGTTCCCTGTTGATGTATGAAGTTGTCTATGTGTTTATGAGTCTTTTGCTTTGACTGGATTTTAGAAGTTCTTTAAGCAGTTTAATGTATTCAAATTAATCTATTTCTAATAAAGGTAGTACTTTTGTTGCTATACATCTGACATTTCAAATTGTTTTTTAAAGATTCTTTATAATGTATAAGAGTAAAAATACATTGGTAGGTATATTTGGAATCTGGTATAAAGATTTAACCCATCATTTTCTTCACAGGCTAAGTTAATTTTAGGTGGAGAGTACCAGAGGTGATTTTATGTGGAATATTTCAAATTAATGCCACTAGAATCTCTTTATCATGGTATATCATGGCTTTTGCTCTGAACTTATTTATAGGCACTATCTCAGATTTTGGAAAAAAAAAATCTGTTTTTTTCATGTCCCCCATGCTCCCACTTTCAAAGTCTTTTTTTTTTTTAACTAATCTTGAGTTCGATTCTGATTTAATCCAAAATTGAATCAGATATTGAACTCAATTGAGTTCAGTTCAAAATTGTTACCTTTTTATTCAGAAGATTAGCTTTCTGTGGGAAAAAAGCATGGGATTATTGAGATATATGCAGCAAAGTCCATGGAAAGTCAGTTCTTTCCCAGATTGTGGTTCACAAACAACATCTTTCTGATTCTTATGTAAGACTACTCCTTAAACCTCAATATGAGTAGAATTTCCGCAGAATGAACTGAATTGAATGAGGATTGAATCTGTCCTCGTACAAGTAGTTTTGATATATTCTTCTTTAATTTTGAGAAGTTTTGCTCCAAACTTTTTCCTTTATACTTAAGAAAGCTGCAATATCACAAAGCCTCTTATATTTTTGTTATATAATAGCATAATAATCCCAGTAGTGATTTTTGTCCCATATTCTCTGTCATACGATCCTCTTTTCTGTTGTATGTAAGCATATCAAAGTTAAACCTTTGGACCGAAATGCTCCAGGTGTCTCCTAGGATAATTTCTTTCTGATGAACGTTTCTGCTAATATAAGCTACTTTGAAGACTGAAATGATGAGAAAATAGAATTCTGATGTTTACATTCATTTTAAGTACATTTACCATGTCACCTCTGTAAAGTTAATTGAGGTTAAATTTGGCCCAACTTATAATAAATGTCTGCACAGGAGCTGAAAGCAAGGAGACAGTTTCTCCTGTTTGCTCTGCTCTGCCATGGCAGAAAAGAAGGAAATGAGGCTTTCCTCGCTCTCAGTGTGGGAGGCAGTAGAGGAGAAGCAGGAAGGGATATCAGGTAAAAACGAGAATCGGAATGGAATTGGCAGAGGATGGGAGCAGAAACTGGGGAGAAAGGAGCAAGAAAGACTGTTTCTGCCTCCACACAGGCTTGTACACAAAGATTTCTTCTGCTATCTCTACTGTACTAGGTTAAGAAGTTACATTGAGTAGATGAAGTGCTGGAGAGAGTCCAGCGCAGGGCCACAAGGATGATCAGGGGCCTGGAACATCTGCCCTGTGAGGAGAGGCTGAGGGAGCTGGGCCTGTTCAGCCTGGAGAAGAGAAGGCTGAGAGGGGATCTAATCAATGTCTATAAGTACCTCAAGGGAGTGCAGAGGATGGTCCTGGTCTCTTTTCAGTGGTGGCCACTGACAGAACTAGAGGTAACGGCCACAAACTGAAGCACCAAAAGTTCCACAGGAACTTAAGGAAAAATTTCTTAACAGTGAGGGTGACAGAGCACTGGAACAGGCTGCCCAGAGAGGTTGTGGAGTCTCCTTCTCTGGAGATCTTCAAAACCCGCTTGGACGCAGTCCTGTGCCACGTGCTCTAGGTGACCCTGCATGTGCAGGGGGTTGGACTAGATGATCTCTAGAGGGCCCTTCCAACCTTAAGCATTCTATGATTCTATGATTCCCTGGTTTGCTCTAATGGAAAGATGAAGAGCTAGTGTAGTTCCACAGCAGGAGGTAGTACTAAGTCTGCTTAGTAGAAGGCATGAGTGGCTGCTACATTTGACATTGATGGTGACATGTAGGAAAGTCTGTGACACCCCAGAACATGGACAGATTAGATTCTTGCCTTCTCCAACTGGGGACAAGAAAGCGACGTGAATTCTAGACCTTCCCGAGTTTTAAATGCTTTATTTTGTAGCCTTGACATACTTGAAAAAATGTAATATTATCTTCAAAGAAGCAAAATTATGAGCCAATATTTATGGAAAAAGTGGTAGTAAAGCATTAGCAAAATGATACTACCTCAAAAGCAGCAGCTTTTTGAAAAAAAAAAAAAAAAAGATGGGATGTTTCCTGTGCCTAATTGTTTGTTGAATTGGCTTTAAAATTACAACATTTGAGGGTGGATGCCAAGGTTGCTGACACGCATAGAAGCTCAGTGATGAATATACTATGACTGTTAGTAAACATAATGGAGAGATCAAAGGTGAAATCTGTAAAATCAGCTAAACAAAGTGAAAGCAATAGCTGCAAACAAATAATAAGTGCATTTGTTAAAATGAATGAAAACATAAAGCCCTTAGTTGGGATCAGAATCTCAGTTGGCTCGGTTTGTCTAAACCCATTTATGGTAGCTATTTCTTGCAGCTGGAGAATTCAGCCCAAAATGCAGGATTTTTTTTTTCCCCAGGTCCTCCCTGAAATTTACAGTTCCTTGTAGGTTTATTTAATTGGGCAAGAAAGAAAAGAGGAAATGATATGTTGTATATGCTTAGCAGGGAGATGAAGGGGGCATTAACACCAGCTCATCCCTATTTGAACACTGTGTTGCATGCACTATTCTACTACATGATCCTCTTGTAACTACAAGGCTGCACAAATTCTCCCTTTAGAGAGCAAGGCTCTGCCTGCCTCTGTTCTGAATGCTACACACAAATTCTTTCAGGATATGATTTGCAGACTTGTAGCACTTACTGTGAAATATAATTTTAAATGTAATAGCTTTGTAAAGTTTCCATGATTGCCTTAAAAAGACCTCCCTTAGATTTTGCAGGATACACTGCAGAGTAGTGCTTGAGAGTCCTCAAGAGTACATCTGTAAACTAATCAGTCCATCTGAAAAGAGTGAAGAGTTAGCAGCTGAACAGGATGAAGCATTGCTTATTTCAGTGTGCCTTCTGAAAGAAAGCCATGTTACAGTGGGACTGGGAGATTTTTATGTTCAGAAAGAATTCATATCCATTCCTAGGCCCGGACCCAACAAACCATTTAAACATGTTCTGTTATGTGCATATCTCCTTCTGATTTCTCTGCTGCTTAAGTGCTCTACTGCATCAGATGCAGCAAGCTAAATGGAAAGGTAGAGATGAAGTTTTTGTGGATTTGCTCACATAAAGCCTATTTCATCTCTTATGTTTTATATTATCCTCTTATTTGTGTGGCTGTAGGTCATCTGCTGCTGCTACCAGCTCCTAAGAACAGAGGATTGAATTGTGGAGGCATATTTTGTGGACTGATAGTCTGCACAGATGGTCTTTTTCTGCTCTGTGTATATTAGGCATTCTTTGAGCGGCCCGCAAGTGGGGAGATAAGAGCAATGATAGAGTAAATTTAGGACAGCACAATTAAATGCAGGGATATGGGAGTTGTATGGGGTTGATGATACCACTTGACCTCTTTGCCTCTTTAGCTTTTTACTAATAAGGTACTAAATAATGTAATCCTCATCCACTCAGCTGATCCTATTATGTGTTATGTATCTCCCAGCCTGGAGAAAAATGAATATCATGTGTAGCCCAATGGAGTAGGAAGAGAAAGAAAAAATGAAGAATTTATGAGTATTTCTATAGCCATGTCCTTGGTTTCAGTCAAATGAAAGAAGGTTTGAAGATTTCACATCTGATATATGATTTGAGCAAGAACTATGTCTTCCCCACTGGCAGTGCTGCCAGAAACATAAGTAATCGTCCATGAGTTCAAGTGCCTTCCACATTTCATACAATGTGGAAATCAGTGCAATCATCAGTAATTTATGATTCTTGTCAGCTACTGTGCGTTAGGCAAAATGTTCTTTTTTAAATACAACAGAAGGGCTTGTTTCAGGCTATTGAAGCATCTGTTATTTTTCATTTTTATTTTACCTTCTTTTTTTAGGGAAGCAACGTAATGGAGGATCAGGATCTATTGGAAATAGGAATACTTAACTCTGGACACAGACAGAGAATTCTCCAAGCAATCCAGATTCTCCCAAAGGTATAGTTTCTGTTACTATCCAAGTGAGAGAATTAACATCTATTTTTTTATTATTATTATTTAAAACCCTTTTTGTGAATGGAGATTAAACTCTATTGTCTTTGTGGAGTTTTTTTACACATATGCAAATTTGACATAAAGTTATATCATTACATTGGACCCACTTTGTACAGATGTAGCTGACAAATAAACCAAAGGAGATTCAAATCTGTAATTTGAAATTATTTTTTCTTATAATTTATTATTGTTATTATTGGCTGTTCAGTCTGACTATAGACTCTGTCATTGTACATGTGTAAAGAAGGCTGTCAGCAAATCCCAGATGCTTCTCTTTAAATAGAAGTAAGCCAGGAAATATTTTGCCCTTTGGAACAAGCGTTATGTAAGTATTTTTAAAAGTCTTGGATAAAACATCTAATACGTGCCTTTCGTGTATGATTTGGGGATTTCCTGCAGGTGCCACATTCGATTTATTGCTGTGTGTATGAATTTTGCTTCTCAGCAAAATGAATGGAATACTTTGCAGTCACTTTTATGATTAATTTTTGGTGCTAACTATGACTCCAGGTTATAAGATCAGTCATATACAGGAACGATTCTTGTGTTTTGCATAACGGAATTTACCAGTAAGCTCCTACTAACATTCCAAAACACAGAAATCTGAATAGATCAACAAGACAGATAGTTGACCTAGCACGAAAACTTATAACTTAATTTTGGGAGTAGGAGCTTAATTTTGGAGAGTTTCTCCCAAGAGTTTTGGAGAGTTTCTCCCCACGAAAACTTATAACTTAATTTTGGGAAGCTTTCTAAAGAGAACAAAGGAAAAACATAGACACCTGTAAGGGTGAGGAGGCTGCCACATATGACGCAGATAGTAACTCAACACCTCAGTTCCTCTATGCCTCAATTCCTGCCAACTGAGGCAGGAATAAAGCCTGATAAGAAGTGTGTAAGTGCTCTAGTGTTTGGGTGAAGCATGTGTAGAATAATGTTTGCAGCTTTTGATGATGCTGGAGAATGTGAAAATAGTTAAAGGACTTTTCTTTGAATGAGGCTTCCGAATGCATCACAGCCTATTAGGTAAGTTCTTATAGATCACTTGTGAAAGAGAAAAGGGCAAACTATTTCTGCATCTGCTTCTGCTAGTCAGTCTTTATATAGCACAGTATGAGTTGGTACACTGAAAAAGTTTGTATACCAAAGATGACTAAGGGCAGTAATGTTCCAAATATCTTATTGGACTAGTGAGATAAATGGTACAAATAGTAGGGTATATTAAAATAGTATTTGATGAATTACAATAAATACTTAAGGTTTACCTATGAATCTACTAATTTTTCAGCAATTGCTATGATTGAAATGAGATGTTTTAATCTTAATTTTAGGTGATTAAATATTTTTTTCTGGGGTTTTTCTCGCTTCCTCAAGAAATCATTTCTTTTTTCCTTTTTTTTTTAAATCGCTCACAGTATGGAATCACTTTTTAAAGTATCACAGTTTTATTGATATCTACATTTAATAATTGGTGCTTATGAAAAGCCTGTTAGTAAGGCCTGCTCTTGGAGTGTATACTAATGCTGAAAGCCAGGATCTGTCATAGAACTCCAGCTGAGATCTTCTTTTTAAAACATAATCAATATGAGAAGGGATGACAGAATCAAGATCCAGAGATACTCTTGAAACCACCTGAGAGCAAGCTGGTTATGCAGTTACCTAGAAGAATCAACATTTTCTGAACCAAAGATAATTAAGTAACACAGAACGGCTTGAAGCAAGAGCTGAATAACAGTGAAGAAGTCTTTAAAGGCTTCCCTGTGGAGTTAGAAAAAACAGTCTTAAGGACCAAGTTTCTAATGTCACTTTGATGCAAGAATATTACACCAACACAAAGGCAGTTGAAAGCTGAAGCTGTGCTCACATTTCTTCACTTAAATGACTCAGCACCTCAAGAGAGCTTGCATAGTAAAAACACATAATTTCCTATTCTAAATCCAATTCTTTTGAAGGCACAGCTGTTGGAATAGTTACAGTGCCCTCAAATTGGGATTATGGCAGCTTTAATGTAAGCCACCCTTGCGTTATTCACAACAGCTTGCTGAAAATCTCAGAGACCTTTCATACCCTGCAAGGAACGATGAAACGTTGTATATCTTTTAGCTTATTGGTAAGTTCAGCTCTGTCATCATACACTAAAAGTATTGCATACCTTTTGAATATTTTAAGATTTAAAATCATAATTTGAGTCTTATTAGATAAGAACTCTTTTAATTAGCTTGTTTTGAGAATATACCTCCTTTCTATTACTGATTTAATTGAACACTTGATAATTCCTTGTGTTTTAGTAGTTAGCAATATTGCTTTTACTATTATTTATAGTTTCACAATTAAAGTTTTTTGTCATACTTTTTTTTAACTCAGGCATTACTGAATAAGCTGAGATGGTAAAAATCAAGCAACAAATCTATTGTTAAGTTTTTAAAATACTGTTCTTCCAAACTTGTTTTGTTATTCTCATGAATTTTCACCTCTGCAGACCGCAAATGCAACAGGCATATAGTGGTTGAAAAGAAATACTGCCTTATCTCACTCATAAATACTGGCTTCCTAAAGAGTAATATTTCTGTATTTCAGACACTAGTGGTATGCTTAGGAGATTTCTAGAGTTTGTAGTAATTTTGAATAAAAAAGGGTGTATTTTTCCAAATATAGGTGAATTAGCCATTATATTTTCTTAAGCAATGTTTAAACAGCACAACTTTGATCCAGATTCCGCAAAATATTATATTTTCCCACAATGATTATGTATTTAAAGTGATAATTTCATAAGAGGGTAAACCAGTATAGTTCTGACAGACAGACCTACTTTGTAACTTTCAATTGGATTTCCCATTTGTAGAATCATAGAATCATAAAGATTGGAAGGGACCTCTAGAGATCCGACTCCCCTGCACACACAGGGTCACCTAGAGCACGTGGCACAGGACTGTGTCCAAGCGGGTTTGGAAGATCTCCAGAGAAGGAGACTCCACAACCTCTCTTGGCCATCTGTTCCAGTGCTCTGTCTCCCTCAGTGTTAAGAATTCTTTCCTTAAGTTCCTGCAGAACTTTTGGTGCTTCAGTTTGTGGCTGTTTCCTCTTGTCCTATCGCTGGCCACCCCTGTACCGATGCATGAGGTTATTCCTCCCCAGGTGCAGGACCTTGCACTTGCCCTTGTTGAACTTCATGAGGTTTTTCACCGCCCAGTTGTCCAGTCTGTCCAGGTCCCTCTGGATGGCAGCGCAGCCCTCTGGGGTATCAGCTACTCCTCCCCGTTTGGTATCATCAGCAAACTTGCTGAGGGAGCCCTCTGTGCCTTCATCCAGGTCATTTTTGTAATATTCTTTGTTTTGTTGGACTAAAGCTAGTAGCCCAAATTCTCATCTCACACTAATGCAATTTAAGTTACTGAAGTTTCACATGCATGTTAATGAGAGCCGTTTATAGCTTATTAGAGAAGGTTAGGACATTGCACTAGAAATTCCATTTGTGAAGTTAATTCTTGAAATGACCTCATGACCTTAGTTTTAGAGCAAATTTCTTAGGCAAATTTTGATATTACATTTAGGATTTTTTGCATCAAGAGAATGAAATTAGTAAATATTTGGAGAGAGATTTTATATGTATTGCCATGAGGAAGTTTAGACACATGTAAGGAGCTAAAGATGATATCCAAACCAAACCCCTTAAGCTGAGAGCACAAGGACTTGAGGAAAAATGAATATGGAAGAGTTGTTCATGAGATATTCTTAGCTGGCTATAAATAATACCAGTCAGGGTGTAATGTTTTGGCCATGCCTAAGAACCTAAGGAGCACTTTCAGATTACCAAAAGCTATGCGCAGGTGACTCTCCATGGTTTCTTAAGAGCCTAAAATGTTTTTGAAAAAAAAAAAAAATCCTAGTTTATCTAACAACGTAGATAAGAAAAAAAGATTGTTTTCCTGCTGGATGTTCAGTATAAGTATGGATCCTTTTCCTAGTCCATAACAGGAACACATTCATTTGACAGATGGAAGATGTTAGCTGAAAGAAGGTTTTTCTTGGCTTCAGAGCTATTCTTATAATGCACAGCTTGTTCCTTACATCATCAAGAGGTCTCAGACACAGAGCATGTCTGAGAAACTTATAGCAGGGCCTGCAGGCAGCCAGCTTCTTTCCTGGGTACTTTGCAGAACCAAACAAGAAGCAGGGCAAGAGCAGGGAATGAGCACGTGTTCTTTGTGAGCTATGTTACATGAACAGTAAAGCTGTGTTTCCAAGGAGTGCTGGATCTATTTTTCAAGGAACACCATTGTCTGTGCAAGCACAGTAAATCTGGCTTTTAGGAAAACAGAGCTACTGTGTATGTGCAAATTAACTACGCTGTGTAAGTAGCAGAGGATAAAAACGTTTGCTATCACTATATAGCTATTGCTTGAGCTTAACAAGCTCAAGCTTGTCAAGCTCCTAGAGCTTAATAAGCTACCTATTTTCAGTTCTGATGTTTAATTCTTGACCATTCAGCACAGCTAACAGGTACATCATTACAACTTTCATTGCTAGGGACAGCAACCTAACTAGGAGGTGATGTGAAGATATCACAATATTCATCACCTTTTCTGGGTATGGATCCTTGGTTCTGGTGGAATTGAAGATGAGAAAAACATGATTCAAGGGAATTGCTTTCTACCTTGCTGTTTTTCCTCCTTCAAATGCCTCAAGGCTTTTACTTCGGTAGTTTAGAAGAAGGTCACTCACCTCCTCATTACACTGCACATCAAACCTTTGACCTTTATGATCAGAAACAAGCATCAGAATCCAGCAGAACACAAGACTAACTAAGTTTTTCAGCTATGAAACACAAAAGCATAATCTACGTTAGCAGGTAAAGTAGCAAAACAGGGAATGGAGGAGTAGAACAAGGCAATTAGATGCATTCACACTGTAGGTCAGGAGGTTTATTTCAAATTAGCTTTTGT